AAATGGTTAGAGACACAAATCAAAAATCAATCCTAGAACGTCTAGAGAGCCATCCTTGTTACTCCAAGTATACACAATATCATCTAAATTTCTCTCTCTCCATATGTCAATCAGACCAAATCTGCCCATAAACAACTTTAAATTAGCATTTAAATTTGAAGGTGGTCTTGGTGGCCATCTATCTATTGATTCATTTAAAACAACATTAAAATCGCCCCCTTTTATTAGATAGGAATCCGGAAATTTGGATAACCAATGTTTAAGCTTTTCCTCCAATAAACATAATAACCGGTCATTGTCAGATTTACAATTATATCCATAGATACCCAGCCAGTACAGCCATGTGGGGCCCACATGGGTTTGACGTGGGCTATCTAACTGGGACCCAGCCAGTTTTGCTCCCGGTTTCCATGTAGGCCCCACATGGGTTTGCCCAGATGAAGTGAACACTGCTCAGTGTGCACACTACAGGCTGTTAAATGTAACACTGATCAGTGTTGGAGTTAATGAGATAATTAAGTGATTGAATATGATTGAGCATTATTGATGAACACCTGGTGTTAGTAAGCAGAATCACTGAAGAAAAGAGAAACACAAGAGCTACTTCCAGTACTTCCAGTTTTCAGTATTTCTATTCATTAAAAATAAACGAGTTCTGATTTGCAAACTAATAATTTTTTTTTCTTGTATAGACTGTCTTAGTGTTTTTGTATGATTTAATAGCTTTGCTATAGCTGGTGTTGCTATTGCAGCTTTCCGTATGGTGGGGGATTTATTATTTAAAAAATAATGATAATCGAGTTACATTTTTAAAAGGGATTTAAAGGAATAAAAGGTAGGTCTAATTGTAGTTAAGTAATCAATTTAAACTATTTGCAAATAATTTATGCAACACTGTTTTAATGGAAAATTGTATGATTATGTCATAATTTGGCCCTTTTTTACAGCAAGGGTTAACAGTGCTGTTATTATCAATAAAAACTGTCACCTCGGGTGAAAAATGTCATCCTGTGTTCAGTCTTTTAAACTTCTCCTCAACGTGCATGCAGTGTAAATAAAGCAGTTGCATCAATGAAATGATAGTGGCTAAAGTTAGTCCACGGCCACACCCCCGTACTAATGGTACCGCCCACGGCGCAAATTACAAGACGAAAATTAGAAAAACAGAAAATAAGTTTGATTTCATTTATTCAAATGTTTATTTCTGAAGTCACAATTTAGCACAAGTAAAATTGAAAAAAGGGAGAAAAAGGCAACTATCCATTGATAATGTAACTGGAAAAACAAGAAAAATGAGTCTGCTTCAAATGCAATGTTGCATTTGCATTGTATGGTCTGAAAATTGAATTGACAAACATGAAATTTACAAAAAATGATTTACGTTGACACACACACACAGATATCAAAACCCAGCGTATGAATCTCACCAATGGTGACTATCACAAATATTTAGATGAACAGATTAATTCAGAACATCACTGAAAAGATACTAATTCACAACAAAAACAACAGCACAAAATAAAAGCAAATATTTAGAATGTATTCATGTTGCAATGCATGCTGGGAGTTTTGTACTATGCTGGTACCTAGCATGCATTGCAGCAAAGTACTTTTGATTTTCATCATTTTTGAGATTCATACGCTGATTGTTGATGTCTGTGTGTGTCATCGTAAACTGATTTTTTCATGTTTGTTAAAGTCTTCTAACTTCTTGTTATAATATTGCAATAACAGGGTTTGTGTTGAAAAAAATATTAATGTGACATGATTGTTATATTAAAATGTCTCAGTGAATGAGTTCATTTCATGATGATTACAAAACCATCAACAGGTAACCATCATCACCTGATTTCATTTCACTTTAGCTTTCTTTGCTGCTGCAATGTGTTTGACAAACATGAGCCAAAACAGACATTAAATGTAATAACAGTTCAGAGCCCAACTAATGGAAACACTGATCACTGTTATGGAAACTTCAAATTAAACAGAGTTAAGCCTCTGTTAATTCTCAATAAAAACTTCTGCAGACGTCTGACAGAAATAAAGTCAATCTGGTTAGTAATAAGTGAAGCTGGTAATGCTGTTTGTGGAGTTGTTTATTCCTCCTCTGCTGAGATCTTGAGGGATTTAATGTCTTCTCTTCAGTGGATTTCACCGACTGTGTCTGAAGTCAGTTGTAGTTATTGTGTTTCTGCTCGTCTCTTTTTCTGTTCTCTTCTTTCCTTCTGTGATTCTGCTTGTTAACAGGCTTATTAAGGTTGAGATGACTTCATATTTAATGTACACAGATTTTGTGGCTCAGATAAGGTCCAGCTCTGGTTTATTTCTTTGCTCTTGGCTGACATGTGGCATTGCTGTGGCCTGCTTGTGGCCCAGATCTGGCAAACAGGAGTGGGCCACCCAAGGGCCGTCATTCCACGCTGCATGTGGACCAGATCCGCATTCCACAAGGTCCAGATGTGGGCCAGATCTACAACTTTACAACTACGGATGACATACTGCAGATCTTGTTCTTGCTTCTCGGCATGTTTGTCACAAGAAACAATTGTTTCTTGTGACAAACATGCCGAGAAGCAAGAACAAGATCTGCAGTATGTCATCCGTAGTTGTTTACTATGTCACTTTACTATGTCGCTTTATTCTTCGCGCGAAAATGACGTCGATTGCTTCTTTCCGGCAAACACCACGCCTATCAAGTAAGGGTACTGTTGGCGGTGGAAACGCTAGCTGGATCATGGTTTACCGACCCGAACCGTACTGTACTGTACCGTACCGTGCCGCTCAGTGGAAACGAGCCATAAAGGTACAGTTATATATTTTGTACCCATAGGAACAAAATTGTACCTTCACTGTACCTTTTTTTCTAAGTGTGCAGGAACCAATCTTTGGAGAAGTTTGTTTATTCACAAAGGTGGACAAAAACATTGTGTTGGCTTTTTAAAGATTATTTTGATGATGACTTTTAATCCTATGCTGTGGAAAAGATAGAGGAGTAGACAGTCAGACATTGATAATAATAAGAAATCTTTCTTGAGCATCAAAGAGACTTCTTTCAAAAACATTAGGATACTTAAAGGCACAATATGCAGGAATTCCGTTTTTGTCAAACAGCGACCCCTAGAGTCGCTGTGGAGTACTTGTATTTAACGTTACTGTCGTAAATGCCACTCACGCACAGCGTCTGCCATAGACTGGTCTCTGCACTCACTGCCTGATACCCCTTTGAAGCTGTTATATTAAGGTACAAATCGTGCATAGTGTGCCTTTAAATAAGAGATCTAGCCCTAAAATGTGTTTTTGAACTCAACCTGAGCGCTCGTGTCCGCTGCTATCAGTGTCATGGATACATAGTGTCTCTTGTGGCGGCGCGCGTGCAGTCTTCATTCGGACGCGCTCTTCAATCTATCGCCGTTGCGGAGACTCTATTCATTCAGGTGAAATCACAAAATAAAATGCACACAAACTTAAAAAGATTTACTTACTAGTCCATCAACAAGATCGCCAGGTCAGCATCACTGTTGTGTTGCATCCAGTGCTGCTTTTTAGCTCGCGCCAACGAGTGAAAGCCCGACCGAGTGGGACTCTTGTCCGGTTCCTCACGCGGTCAGATTCTCTTTTCCTTTTCCTAGTCTCTTCCGACCGCGTTTTCTTTGCTTTTTCCATCGTCGAGTATCACGTCTGAAATGCGCGCAAGTGTCTTCATGCTTCATAAGTTGTTGATGTGTGTGACGTCGTTGCCGTAAAGCATGTCGTGATTCTCACGAGATTTGTCGGGGGCGCTCCTCTCTAACTTGCATTGCTGGTTTTTCCAACGGCGACCCCCCACGCTTTACTACCAGGATGATTCACCCTACTATGAGTTTCTTTACCACTGAAATGACTTTACAGCTGTTATATTAAGGTACAATTCTTGCATAGTGTGCCTTTAAATACTTATTTTGGCCACCAGTGTACATGAATCCAACAAATCTTTGGAAATAATAATTTTGAAGGTGGGGTTATGTTATGTGTCATGTATTGTGAAAAGAACTGTGTTTTACCCTGTGTTGGTAAAAAAAATTCCTTTTTGACTACTTAATGTATTAATATTCTGCAGTTTTATGAATGTAATGGGTGCTATTTAATTATAATAATTGTATAAGCTAAACAACCAATGCCTCCACAATCATTTTGTCATATGCTAACATTTTGTTTAGGATTTTATGTACTTTTTTTTAACTATGTGTGCAGTGATGGACAGCACATAATGTGTAAATTTAACATGTTTACACATCTTTGAGCTAACCTTTCTGACCTATTTACTTTGTTAAAATTGACACAAAACCCTAAACTCACCCATTAATGTGTAAAAATGTAACACATCCTTTCCAGCATTGGCAGACTGTTTATTTTGTGATGTTTATGAAATGTTTTAAATAAAATTTAAAAAAAATGGTATTTTGTAAAAATTTTGTCTAATTGATTTGAATGTCAGTGGTACTTATGTAGGATAAAAATTTATTCTATATCAAAATCATGAAATCTAATTTATATTTTTAGTACAAATAAAAATAATTACAGTAGTGTACTGATTAGCTTGATTTTTACAGTAATACACTGTATTACACAATTACAGTACCATGTAGTTACTGTAAAACTGATATACGGTTATGTACTGTAAATCTTAATTACAGTAACTTACTGGCAACAGTGTTGCCAGTAAGTTACTGTAAAAAAAAACTTGAAAAGTCTAACAGTGTATATATATATGTATATATGTATATATTATATGTATATATATGTGTGTGTGTATAAATGTGTGTGTATAAATATATATAAATATAAATATCGGCTTTACACATATCGGCAATCGGCCACTCTGCTCTCTAAGATATCGGCCATCAAAAAACCCATATCGGTCGACCACTAATAATTATGTCCCGCAGTCTGGATGGTCTGCCTTTTGAATACCACTGGTGTAGAGAATCTTTGAAAGATTGGTTATGTTTTTTTCTTTTTTCTTTCTTACAGCACTTTCTATCCTTAGGCCACAACTTTAAAATGGAACAAAGTTTGAATTTGCTGTTACTGGGAAGAACAGGAGCTGGGAAAAGTGCATCAGGAAACACCATACTGGGACGAGAAGCTTTCAAATCAAAGAAAAGCTCCAGATCAGTCACTCAAGATGTTGCAGTTGAATCTGGAACTGTTGATGGGTTTCCAGTCACTGTTTATGACACACCAGGATTATTTGACACTGAGCAGAATGAAAAAGAGATTCAGCAGATTTATGCAAATGTTCTCCAGAAATGTGAATCAGGTCCCTGTGTCTTTCTACTGGTCATCAAAGCTGACAGATTCACTGAAGAAGAGAGACAAACTGTGGAGAAGATTGAGGAGCTGCTGGGAGAAGAGCGCTTGGAGAAAACCTGGATTCTCTTCACCAGAGCAGACGAATTAGAAGAGGAAAATATGACAATAGAAGAATTCCTTGATGAGACTGAACCACTGAATCAACTTGTTAAGAAATATGATCAGAGATGCCACGTGTTCAACAACAAGACAAAGAAAAATACTTATCAAGTTAAAATGCTGCTTCCAAAAATACTTAAGCCATATTTAGACACAATAGGTGAGTCTTTTATACTAATAATAAATATTCATGGACATATTTTAATCAATATTCTTTGAATTTAAAATGGTATTAATTTTTTTCTTTATCATGTAATAGAAGAAGGTACAGAGATCCTGAAGCAGAATCCACTGAAGAGAAAAATACCAAAGGATTTTGAACCAGACACTCCTGTCTCCAGTCTCTCATCCAGACGGATTGTTCTTCTGGGTAAAACTGGTTTTGGGAAAAGTGCATCTGGAAACACAATACTGGGACAGAGACAGTTTAACTCTGTGATGAGAATGAATGCAGTAACCAGTGAATGTTCAGTTGCTCACGCCACTGTTTCAGGCAGATCTGTGTCTGTAGTTGATACTCCTGGATTCTTTGACACACAGATGAAAACTGAAAAGTTAATGACAGAGATAGCGAGAAGTGTTTATATATCCAGTCCTGGACCGCACGCTTTTATCATTGTGTTTCCTGTGAATATGAGATTTACTGAACATGAGCAGCAGATTCCTCAGATGATTGAGATGATGTTTGGTGAAGAAGTGTTAAAATACTCCATCATTCTCTTCACTCATGGAGATCTGCTGAAAGGAAAGTGTGTAGAGAAACTCATTGAGGAGAACTGTAGATTAAGAGATCTAGTTCAGCAGTGTGGAGGCAGATTTCATGTCTTCAACAATGGAGATGTGAATAACAGAGATCAGGTGAATGATCTACTGCAGAAGATTGACACAATGATAGAGCAGAATGGAGGAGGACATTACAGTAATGAGATGTATGAAGATGCTCAAAAACTCAAACGAAAGGAAGAAGAGCAGAGAGAAAGAGAGGAAGAGGAAAGAAAGCAACAAGAGGAGAAACAAAGACAAGATGAAGAAAAGAGGAGACAAGAGGAGATTGAGAGAGTGATTAAGGTGACAGAGGCGGAAATCAGAGCAGAGATGGAAACTAAACTGAAGTCTGAACAAGAAAGATTTATGGTTACGAGACAGAGAGAGGACGATGAGAGAAAACAACAAGATAAACAAAGACAAGATGAGATTGAGAGAGTGATAAAGGAGTCAGGGGAAAAAATCAGAGCAGAGATGGAAGCTAAACTGAAAAAAAAGGAGAATAAAAAAACAGAGGAAGAAGATGGAGCAAGCTCAGAAAATAAAAAAGATGATAAAAAAGAGACTGGATTTGTTAAATTTCTATCCAAGTACTGGCGCCATATTTTAAGTGCTGCACTTATGGGGGGACTGGTTGGTGCTGGAGTTGGTGCTGGTGTTGGTGCTGGAGTTGGTGCTGGAGTTGGTGCTGGAGTTGGTGCTTTAGTAGGTGCTTTAGTAGGTGCTTTAGTAGGTGGCACAGGTTGCTTTGTCCAAAAACGTAAAGAAGAGAGAAAGCAAAAAGAGGAGAAACAAAGACAAGATGAAGAAAAGAGGAGTCAAGAGGAGATTGAGAGAGTGATAAAGGTGACAGAGGTGGAAAAGAGAGCAGAGATGAAAGCTAAACTGAAGTCTGAACAAGAAAGATTTATGGTAACGAGACAGAGAGAGGACGATGAGAGAAAACAACAAGATAAACAAAGACAAGATGAGATTGAGAGAGTGATAAGGAGTCAGTGGATAGATTCAGAGCAAAGATTGTAACATTTAAATAGCAATGTATAGAATAATGTTAAAAAAATAATCATATGTATACAAAATCTAGAATGATTTGTAAAGTATGCAACCAAATGTGACTTCAGTGTGACCAATCCAAACTGAGCCAATCTGTCTTTAATTTTTGCAGTTTCTTGTAGTTCCTGAAAAGAATCTTTGATCTAATTAGTGTGATATGAATAACTAATATTGATTCATCTAAGTTACTATGATCAGAAATGATTCCCAGTTTAACTGCAGCAATCAAAGTGAAATAAACTTAACAAGAAATGTAGTTGCCTGTCATTCTTCAATGTTTTACAATATAAATGCCGAATGTGGTGCTATCTCCTGTCTCTCACTGTAAAAAAAGGTAATTTTTACAGCAGAGTTTCCAGAGAATGTCTGTAAAAAAAAGGAAAAAAAAGAAAAGATTGTAGAATGAAAAACATATATAATCTGTAAATCGTTGGATAGGCATGTCGACATCACGGACAGAGACATAAACAGCCCACAGCAGTTATCAGGAGTTCTGCTCTTTTTATTAAACTTGTTCAACTGTGATCATATAGTGGAATGGTTATTTTTAACAAAAGTACAGTGATATATGTTTTACAATACTTTGTCTATTTCACAGCATTTCTAAAGCATTTCTGCTGTAGAAAACACAGTATATGAAACAGTACAGTGTCTTCAACACCGGAATATAGCTGTTATAGTAACATAATACATTTTTCATATAACAAAAGTCAACATCAAATTCAATATCAGTTACCTGCATATGGGGAAACCAAGCTGAATCAGGATAGGCATGTCGACATCACGGACAGAGACATAAACAGCCCTACACAACGCACAGTAAGTCAGACCACTGTAAAAAATTGTCCTGTAAAATTACAGTAATCTACTGGCAGCTGTGTTGGCAGCAATGTACCGTTAATTTACAGCTCTCCTTTTTAGGGGCCAATCACCGAAGGTGCGGAGGCACTTATTGTATCTCTTCCGGTTCTTATTATTAGGGGCCAAGCACCGAAGGTGCGGGCACCTATTGAAACTGTTCCCGTTCTTATTAGGGGCCAAGCACCAAAGGTGCGGAGGCACCTATTGTATCTGTTCTGGTTCTTAATATTATTCTTCATTCTTCCGACTGGGCGTCTATGGCAGCCCATAGAACCGTTTCCGGGAAAGTTATGAAATTTGGCACACAGATAGAGGACAGTCTGAACTCTCGTCATAGCAATTTTGGAGTCTCTAAATCAATCCCACTAGTGCCACCAACTGTCCAAAGATTCACTCATGTTTATGCTAATAACTTTAGAACCATAAGGGCTAGAAACAAAATTCTTTTTTCCTCTGATTCCTGAGCTCAAGCCGATTTCGATCATTTTGAATTCTCCGAAAAACCTACTTTTTCGAACTCCTCTTAGACGGTTTGTCCGATTTGCACCAAAATGCACCAGATCATCTCCAGGCAGTGCTGACAAAAAAGTAATGGAATTCAAGTTGATTTGTCAAACTGTTCTCGAAAACCGCCCAAACTAATTTGGCGTAGCGCTTGTGAAAACAGACGTAAGGCTGTATCTCCGCAACGCTTTATCGTATTCAGACCAAACTTGGTACATGTCATCACAAGCATAGACATAATAAATACATAGACGCCCTATTGGCCGCTGGAGCGTACGTCAACGGCGCCGCCATATTTGGGATGGCAACTTTCCCATACCTCTCATACCGGGAATTGAGAAACTGTTTTGTGCGCTGCTTGGGGCTGTACACATCGCCACACAATTGAAAACAGCTTAGATCCCAGTTAGATAGCCCACGTCAAACCCATATGGGCCCCACATGGCTGTGCTGGCTGGGTTGTAATGTGTACATGAGTACATGTGTACTCATGTACACCCCCCCCCCCCCCCCCCTTGAGTACCTATTATTCTGAATGCAATATGAGTTGCAGGAGTCCACATCTACAGAAGAGTCTCCACAAAGCAGTGATGCAGAGGTGGGCAGTGTTGTACTTTTCCTTTTAATTTTTGATGCATTGGCCATGTGTTGACAGGTTTACCCCTAGAATATTTTGAAAATACTTGACAACTTAAAGAAAAAAAAAACTGGCACTAGAGATAGAGTTGCTTCATAGGAACTTCAGAGTAAGTGCTAATATATTATTTCACACAGAGTACAATATATATTATTTGCAGGCAAAAGATGACTTGATCACTGGCTTTTCTTTACAAAGAACAATTAAAATAAAACTCAAAGAACTAAGCATATTTGTCTTGTCTTTTATTAATGAAATGTTTTATATTTTTTCTGATGGTGCAATGTTGTGTAATATGGCCCATGCAATGTCACAGGCCCTGTCAGGTGCAACCCTCAGACTTTTCAACCCTCAGACGAGTCGAACATTTATACGTTTCCAACAAATTATTGATGTAAACGACATCCTCACGAGTCATGAAAAAAATGATATAAGTAGGCCTACACTATCGCGCTGCGCTAAAAGACTTCCCGTATCAGCTCCGCTTATGAAGCCGCGATCTAATCCTGTTAACATGAAATAAGCTGCTCGCGAGCAGGTTCAAGCTGGCGCACCTGTTGCTATGACAGCAAGTCCAGGATGAGCGTCGAAGAACCAAACAATCCAAGATCATGCCAAATCGCCAACAATCAAATCCAGCTAAGTGAGTTAGCGACGTAGGAAGAACGGGCCCCTGGTGTTTAAAGCTGATCGTTGGTGATCAGTTTGTGTTGAAAAATAATGTCACGATGTTGACGGCATTTGTTTACGTGTCGCTGATGCTGTGATGTTGGAGGATTTGAATGATTATACGAACATTGTTGACTTGTGAGAAAACTCAAACATGAGTGAAGTGAGTGTTGATGACGTCACTGGCTTTGAAAAGGATTGCGGTAAAAGAGAAACTAAACTTACTGCAAAGGCTTTGGCGAACAAAATTGAAAGTTTGCAAATGAAACGGAAATCAAATGTAAACAAAATTAAGAGCCAGAGACCAGAGATGAAAAATCTGATGAAGAGAAAGGAAAATACCTCCCAGATGCAAATTCAGTTTAAAACTCTTGTTCAGCTTTGTGAAAATGCCAGCAAGATGCATGACATGGTGATTCATTTACTTCCTAAAGATGAAACAAAATGAATGGTTTTGGAGTATTATGAAATACAGCAACACATTTAAAGAAGCGGTTCAACATTGGTTGAGTGAACCAGAAGGATCATTGGAGAATGTTATGTCTGTTCAGTCTTGTGCTGGTGCAATGCAGGAAGAGTTTCCCAATCCTCAAGTGCAAGTGCATCATTTGTACAAGATGACATCAAACCAACTGACAGTGTATCAAATGTGGGGAGTATATTATCCAAAATTCAAAGCTCAACAACAGAAAAAAGATCTGTGGCATCATCTACTTCTTCTGTACGTCTCAAAGCAGAGGCTGAGTTGGCAGCATTAAGGGCACAACAAAAATTCTTGAAGGATAAGCATGAGCTGGAGGATCAAGAACAGTTACGGAAAAAGAAAGAACAACTTAATTTGCATGGAGAAATTGCAATTCAAATGGCCAAACTGAATGTTTTGAAATCTCAGAGTGTGTCAAGCAGTAAATCTGACCGTTCAGGAAGGAAACATTCCAATTTAGAGAATGAACAAAAGAAAACATAAAGTCTTAATGCCAGTGCTAAATCATTTGTTCCTCCAAAGCTTCTAAGAGAAAAAAGATCAAAGCATGAGTGTTTGGAATCAGGCGCAAGGCCTAAAGAGACAATTGTACAACAACCGGTATTCTCACAGCCTCATCCAGTGAAACAACACCCCCCAGATAGCCACTGGACGCTGTAACGGAACAGGGCCGCAACCGCAAAACGATAGAGTCGGGTCTGGCCCGCAACCGCCTCAGGGACTCGTTCCTGAGTCCAAACGCACATCGGGTCGAAGCCGTTTCTGGTCTGTTTTTAGAGGTTGTTGCGGATATGTGCCAGCGCCGATCCAGCACCGCCTGATCATCCCGTTACAGATGCGTAACGGGTGCGTGAAACGATTCCGCCTACCGGAGCTGTGCCGGATGTGTTACGATTCCGCTTAAATCACTGGATTGTCCTTTTGCCTTATTTTCGGCATTTTTGTCAGTTAGGGTATAGTAACCTATGCTACCTATAGGCCTACATTTTTCACAGTCTGTGGAATGTCCAGAAAAACATTTTCACTATAAGGCCTTGGCTATAAATAAAAAGCTTGACTTGGCTTGAGCTATTTGGAGCAATAGGCCTATAGGCTATAGCTGAAATAAATCATTTAATGATTAAAACGCATACTAAAACAACGTGAACAAAGTTAACAAACACAGAATTAATGACCACGAATTCATAGATTTAATTATAAAAAAAAGAAACAACAAAGTCATGAACAAGTCAACAATTAACACAGAACAGTCAACAACAAACACAGAATTAATGGATAAAAAAACGCACAGGCTATTAACACAACGTGAAAAAAAACACACAAAAAAACATGCACTTAAACAAAATCACTAGCTGCTGTGGCAGCGGTTGCTGTTGCTGCTCCTGCTGCTGACGCGCCAGTCTCTCCTGGCGCCCTCCTCTCCTGTCCGCCGAAAAGGCAAACCACCTTATAGCATGCCTCCATATTTCAGCTTCTGTGCACCTGGGCCAATTTTTGAGCAAAAAGTGGCTCCTAGCGGCCAAATTCTAAGAAAATTCTCAGAGTCATGACGTTTTCTTAGAATTTCCCCTAAAAGTGACACGGAAATCCCAGTTAATATAAAAGCTATTCCTCAAGATTCCTAGCGCTTAAAAGGGCTCCTAAGGCGAGATCTGCTAAGAGCAGGGAAGAGGACTTTTAGTGGCTTAGGAGTTCCCCTAAGCTAAGCAGCTGCACAACATGGCCAACAGAGGAGGCAGGAGAGATGTCCTGCAAACACTGGATGACAGGGAATTATTGAGACGCTACAGATTGGATCGTGCAGGAATCATGTTT